GTAGAAAATGGGGAATCATATGAAACTGTAACGTTACAAATACTATATAAGGTAATTTGGTCCTCCACAGGCCTCGTCTGGGAGCGGCACGGCCTGCGGCCTACCTGCCGCTTTCCCGACGAGAGGAATCGATTGGACATTCGGTGAAGTGCACGATTGGGGCTCACTCCTCGCCAAGGCACCGCCTGCACAAAATTATACGCACGACCTCCGCTGCGCTGCGGTGCGCGCAATTTTGTGGGCGGATGCTCTGTCGTCGCTCGCTGCTGTAACGCTAGGTCAATTCCCTTGTGTTTTGATACACGTGTGTGTCCCCCAGATTTCTACCTGTGATTCCCTAATTCTTGTGTACACGAACATTTGACTCGTTTCAAACGCAACAGTCGTATACCGTCAGGCAAACTAGGGCGCGTCGGCGGCAAGACGATCAACACATCTTCCATTGTAACTACGCTCGTCAGTGAGGTCCCGGAGGAACAGCGCTCGACAATGCGCGACATCTCCCAAGCCACCGGACTGTCCATGGGCACGCTGAGCCGACGCCTAAAAGACGGAACGATTGAGCGCAAGAACACTCGTCTCAAACCGCTGCTGACGGACGCCAATACTATCGAACGTACCGCATTTTGCCAGAAGTGACCTACGAGTTTGACGCCATGTGGGACGTTGTGCACCTCGACGAGAAGTGGTTTAACGCGGACAAAGACCGCCGAAAGGTGTACGTCGTCAAAGGGCAGTCCATCAAGCGGCCTGCGGCGAAGATTAAGCGATTCATTCCTAAAGTTATGTTCCTGGCAGCAGTGGCACGTCCTAGACACGATGATGAGCGTGGTGTCATGTTGGACAGAAAGATCGGGATGTGGCTTGTCGTGATGTACCTGCCCGCCGCCCGCAACTCCCGCAACCGCCCCGCCGGCACGATTGTCCCTACGATCGTCAACGTTGATGCAGTATTGTACCGCGACTACGTCATCACAAGGGTCGTACCTGCGATCAAGGCCAAGTTTCCAAGCGTCAACAAGAGAGTGGTCCTTCAACATGACAATGCGACGCCGCACGGTGCTATCACCGACGCAATCTTGGAATGTGTGTCCACCGATGGTTGGACGTTTGTGGTGCAGCGCCAACCGCCCAATAGCCCAGACCTGAACGTGCTCGACTTGGGGTACTTCGCCTCCATTCAGTCTCTACAAAACAAGGTGGTGAGTCACTCCATTGATGACGTGATTCAATCGACGCTTGCATCCTTTGAGGCGCTCAGCTCTGAAAAGCTTGAGAATGTCTTCCACACTTTTCAGGCCGTCATGCGTCTTGTGCTTGAGCACAACGGTTCCAACCACTTTCCCTTACCCCATCTCACGAAGGACGCCAAGCGACACGCCGGGACACTTTCGGCAAACATGTCCTGCCCAGCTTCCCTCATAGGCTAGTTGACACCAATGACATCAGTGAAGATTTTAACCAATTATACGATTGCATTTTCTTACTCAACCAATGGTAGCGTTATGTCGGCAGTAACGTGATAAATTTGATTTTATCCAATGTCGGTTGTAACGTGGAACAGAGGTAGTACTAATCTAGGTTATACATTAGGTATACGAAGTTGGTACCTGGGCACGGTATGCGTAGCCTCTCGACAATGAAGAGATAGCTCTGCAGCCATGACGTACTTGCAGTATTTGTTGAAATACAATAGCTTTAGCCCTTGCCTTTTATCTTGAATTAAGTATACCTCAGTATTATTCGTAGGTGACCACTATCGGTCGGACCTTTCATGTTATGGTGACATTGGCATCTTGCTTTCCCCGATGGTCATTTCGCAACTGTCCTTGAGCATGGCCACCTTGCGCTTGTAGCCACTCGAAAAATCTAACACTCGTCATATATCGATTCAACCAAATGCTGTTATATGCACCGTTGAGAAAAGTGTCCAATTCTTGATCGACCTCTCAATTCGCTTCCTTTTACAGGTACTCGATCGATGGCATTATTGCACTGCTTGATTGTTGTGAAAGCGTTGTACTTGGTTCGCGTGATTTCGACGCCACTGGAGATGCGTTTAATCGAGGAATATATAAGGTACTCTTCGCACACGTGGCATGAAAGTGGCACTTGATTGCCGACTCTAACACACAACAGGATAGGGTTTCCTGTAGACACAACTTGATGAGTTGGAGACGCGGCTCGTGCTGTGCTCGTGTGTCCTCGACTAAGCGTAAGGAGACAATTCTTTTCCAGGCATCTCTGCTCTCGTGCTTCCGTTTCGCCCTTCCCATGAAAGATTGGATGTTCTCGAAATGGTTTCCATAGTGCAGATAACTAGATACTCCTAAATGTTCGCAAAAGGCTAGTATCTTGCAGACATTCTTGCATCACGGTTTATTTAAATGTACGGCAAATAGAGAATTGCCGTTTAGGGCGAGTTCGGAGCAAATTTTGGGTCCATTTTTGAATATTTAACCAATCAAGTTCATTTCCATCGTGTTTGGATAACGTCGCCCCTAACGACCTCGTCGAGGTAGCTTGGGCTTGGAGCGACTTTTTACGAATTGACAACTGATTGGTCGTTAATATAGCCATTTAATGTAGCCGACACACATATTCAAATGAACGTCGTTCCTTTGGTTTGCTCGGTCGCTACCATACCGTCTGTTCGGGCAATCGGGAGGTCAACTTTTTAACCCGTCGTCGTATTATGCTCATTCTTTTATTAATCTTGGTTTCACATACCAATATCCAAGAGTACAATGCCTCAGCTGTATTTCTACTCGATGCAGTCACTCCAGCGATATGCAGATTTGGGGCAAGGAATCGATTAAAAATTGACCCTGAAATGATTATAAAACGCTCAGCATTATATTTAAGCCATGGGAAATTTTAAAAAGGTAATTAGTAATACTATTAGTAGACAACCTACTAGCTGACAATGAAATCATTCGGATCCAGAAACCGATTGATACGAAGAACGAAAGTCAATGATAGCGGTTTGACGCAGTAGCGCAATGGTCAGTGCGACGGCATCCAAGTTGATTGAGGACGGGGCCGGGGTTCGAGCCCTGGTCAGTGTCAAACTTTTTTATTTGTAAAATTATATTGAACCATAAAATAAATTCAAATACAAACATTCAGTCGTTATATTGCGATTGACTAAATTACAAAGACAGCTTGCACGCCAACCCAGTTCACAACACACAAGACTCGCCATACCACGTGGCCACTTGGAGAACAGCATGCAATGGTCGACTTACACGTCATTTGGCAGAGAGCGTCGTGCATGAAGACCCAGTCATTGGCGTGTTTTGTGTCCGCCATGACACTCGACGAGGCATGAATGATGTGTTCAACCAACGCCGTGACACACATGTTTCCTTTCAGAGCTGCAGCCATCAGAATTTCGTCTCTCCAGCTCTAGCCGAAGAGGGACTCGTAGGGGTTGGCGGAATTTTTGTGGTCGACGAAGCGTGATGTGTAACTTCCTCGATGTGAAATTCCATGTACCTGAGAAGCAATAGTGGCCAAGTGGGAGCTTGGTACGTTTGCAATGTCTTTGACGGTTTTTATGCCGACAGTGTCCAGCTCATCGAGAAATTATTTTTATAATTAATCTTTTTTTCAATTTTTTTAAATAATAATCTGTGTTTAATATATTTATTTATTTTTTGCATAATTTATTGAGTGGTTTCTTGCCAATGCCCGTGAGTCGTGAGGCACAATCGTTTTGAAAACTCCCTACAGTATACGAATTTAATTACTTAAATTTCAATAATTACTCTAGCGCTACTGGTAATCATCGAATATTTAGATTAGTACCGTCATTAGGTGTTCAATGCCCAGTCACCCATGGTGGCGATAGTCCAGGCAGCCCTTGGACTCGGCGGATTTCTTGATTGATGATGCTCTCCATTTCTTAAATGGTTTAATCCATTGATCGCTGTACACAAATGGAGTACATCGACAGCCCATTGTGGCTCCATTGTGCAACTCGACGATGGCACACCCAAATGAGAACCTCGCCTGTTGATTGAACTTCGTGTTCAAGTACGACTTTTCAGGTCCAATGGTCCCGTCGGGGTCACACATTCCGTCCTCGTCGCATGGAAAACGGACTTGGGTCTTCCGACCTCCCGCTCCATAATCGCCAATCTGTGCATCCTTGTGTGTCTCGTCCCAGACAACCACTTGTGATATTTCAAGCGGCGTCAGGATCGCTTCGTCCAAGTAACTAGGGCACTCACCGTCCTCGGCATCCCACTTCCAAATACCCATACGAGTGGCGAACTGCTGAGGATAAAATATTGCCACATAAGAATTGCTGAGGACCACACAGGAATTGCTGAGAGCCACATAAGAATTGCTGAATCACACATGCTTTATGCTTAAGAACACATGAGATTTGCTGAATTGAGTATAGAGTATGTTACACAACGCGATCCACTACGGCAGGCAGTGCGTTATGAGAATTACTGGACATGTGTGACTAGGAGCAATGTGATTGGTTATTAAACTCATATTTCAATGTGATTGGCTATTGTAAATGAATTCAGAGCATGTGATTGGCTATTTCTCACTAAATTTTGTGATTTCAGGAGTGGGAGTACGTAACTGTAGCTACTAA